TATCCCCAATCATATTATCAAAAGATTTCTCAATGAAAACAAATCAAGCTAGAAGGAAATGGAAGGAGATATAAAAGTGATGCAAAGCAAGGAACTCAATCCAAGAATACTCTATCCAGCAAGACTATCAATCAAAAATTAAGGGGAAAGCAGAAGCTTCATAGACAAACAAAGGTAAAGGGAATTTATCACTACCAAACCAGCAAATCAAGAAATGCTAAAGGGAATGCTGTAAAAAGAAGAAATAAAAAAGTAAGAAAGAACACACCACAAAAAATAAAAATGGCTTCAAATAAGTACCTTTCAATAATAACTTTAAATGTAAGCAGACTAAATGCTCCAATCAAAAGACATCAAGTAGTTGAATGTATGAAAAACATGACCCGAAATATTTGCTGTCTACAAGAGACCCACCTCAGAACAAGGGACTCACACAGACTGAAAGTGAAGGGATGGAAAAATATCTTTCAGGCAAATGTAAATGAAAAAAAATGCTGGGGTAACAATATTTATATCTGACAAAATATACCTCAAAGTGAAGGCCATAACAATAGATAAGGAAGGCCACATCATAATACTAAAGGATGGATACAAAGGATGAGGATATAACCCTTATAAACATATATGCACCCAATGCAGGAGCACCCAAATACATAAAAAAAAAATCTTCAAGATATTAAGAGAGAGATAGACAACATTACAATCAGAATCAGGGACTTTAACACACCACTAACATCACTGGATAAATCCTGTAGACAAAAAAAATCCACAAAGAAACAGCAATTAGATGATATGGACTTAAGTGACATTTTCAGAACCTTTCACCCCAAAGCTGCAAGGATTAGCAAAGTGACTGCAAAATACTGGGTCATTAGCAAAGTCTTGCCAAATTCAAGAAGATTGAAATCATATCAAGGATCTTCTCAGACCACAATGGCATAATATAAGAAATAAACTACAATAAAAACAATCCAAAACACTGAAAAACCTTAAAGCTGAATATGATGTTATTAAATATTGATAGGGTTACCAATGAGATCAAAGCAGAAATTAAAAACATGTGGAAAGTAATGACAATAAAAACACAATAATCCAAAACCTATGGGACACAAGGAAAGCAGTCCTGAGAGGGAAGTTTATAGTTCTACAAGCCTACCTAAAAAAAAATGGTAGTAAATTATCTAATGCTACAACTCAATGAATTAGAAAGAAGAAAAGCCCAGAATGAGCAGAACAAAGTAGATAATAAAGATTAGAGCAGAAATAAATGACATAGAGACAAAAAAAATACAAAAGATCAATGAAACCAAGAGCCAGTTGTTTGAAAGAATAAACAAGATTGATGGAACTCTACCCAGGATCACCAAGACCAACTAGACAACCTGGAGTAAATGGACATATTCCTAGAAAAGTACAACCTCCCAAAACTTGATCAGAAGGAATCTAACAATCTTAATAGGCTGATAACTATGTAAGAAATTGAAGAAGTCACAAAAAGTTTCCAGAAAACAAAAGCCCAGGCCCAGATAGCTTCACACAAGAGTTATACCAAACATTCAAGGAAGAACTAAATCTTATCTTCCTCAGACTATTCAAAAAATTAAAGAGAAGGGAACACTTTCAAGCTCTTTCTAGATAAAGACACCACAATGAAAGAAAATTACAGGCCAATATCCCTAATGAACATACATGCCAAAAACCTCAACAAAATTCTAGAAAATTGGATCCAGTAGTACATCAGAAAGATCATACACCATGACCTAGTAGGATTTATATCAAGAATGCAAGGCTGGTACAATATCCACAAATCAATAAATGTGATACATTACATAAACAAATAGAGGGAGAAAAATCACATAGATGTATCAATTAATGCAGAAAAGGCATTTGACAAAATCCAACACCCATTTTTGATAAAAACTCTCAGCAAGGTGGGAATAGAAGGATCATAACTCAACATAATAAAAGCCATATATGATAAATCCACAGCCAACATCATAATCAATGGGCAAAAACTAAAATCATTAATTTCCCTAAGAACAGAAACAAGACAGGGATTCCAACTCTCACCACTCCTGTTCGACAGACTACTGGAAGTATTAGCCATTGTAAAAGACAAGAAGAAGAAATGAAAGGCATTCAAATTGGAAAAGGAGAAGTAAAGCTGTCCTTATTTGCAGATAACATGATATTGTACATAAAAAAACCAAAAGACTCCATAAAAATTATTAATCTTAATAAATAAATTTGGCAATGTAGTAGGATGCAAAATTAACACCAAGAAATATATGGAATTTCTTTACACCAATAGTGAAGTTACAGAAAGAAAGACTAAAAAATCAATCTCATTTACAAAAAAAAAATAATAATAATAATAAGATACCTAGGAATAAAATTAGCTAAAGAGATAAAAGATCTATATGTGCAAAACTAGAGGACACTAAAAAAAAGAGATAGAGGGATATGTAAACAAATGAAAGAACATACCATGTTCATGGATTGGTAGAATCAATATCATCAAAATGTTCATACTACCAATAGCAATCTATAGATTCAATGCACTCCCCATTAAAAAACCAACAGCATATTTCACAGACCTAGAAAGAACTCTCCAAAAATTAATCTAAAAAAAAAAAATACCCCAAATAGCCACAACAATCCTGAGAAAGAAGAACAAAATAGGTGGGATCTCAATTCTAGACATCAAGCTGTGTTACAAAGCCACTGTTCTCAAAACAGAGTGGTATTGGCACAAGAACAGACATATAGATCAATAGAATAGAATGAAGAATCCAGATATTAACCCAAACCACTATGCTTAATTGATATTTGACAAAGGATGCATGAACGTACAATGGAGTCAAGACATGGAGTCTTCAATAAATGGTGTTGGGAAAATTAGACAGATACATGCAAAAAACTGAAAACTACCACCAACTTATACCAAACACAAAAATAAACTCAAAATTGCTGAAGCTGGTTTGGCTCAGTGGTAGAGCATCGGTCTGCGGACTGAAAGGTCCCAGGTTCGATTCCGGTCAAGGGCATGTACATTGGTTGTGGGCACATCCCCGGTAGGGGGTGCACAAGAGGCAGCTGGCCGATGTTTCTCTCTCATCTAGCTCTCTATCTCTCTGTTAAAAATCAATAAAATATATTTTTAAAAAATAAAAAATAAACTCAAAATAGATACAGGAGTTAAACATAATATAGGAAACCATAAAATACTAGAGGAATCCACAGCAGCAAAATCTCAAACATATGTCAAAAGAACTTCTTCACTAATACTGCCCTTAGAGCAATGGAAGCTAAATAGAAAATAAACAAATGGGACTACATCAAAATTAAAAGCTTTTTCACTGTAAAAGAAACCATCAACAAAACAATAAGAAAGCCCACAGTATGGGAGAACATATTTCCAAATGTTATCACTGATAAAGGTTTAATCTCCAATATCTACAGACAACATATACAACTTAATAAAAGGAAGATAAATTATCCAAGAAAAAAATGGGCAATGGACCTAAATAGAATCTATTCGAAAGAAGACAGAAGGAAGGCCAAAAGACCCATGGCAACATGTTCAAAGTTACTAATTATTTGAGAGATGCTAATCAAAATGACAATGTGGTACCATCTTACACCTGTCAGAATGGCTATCATCAACAAATCAACAAAAGACAAGTGTTGGCAAGAATGTGGAGAAAAATGAACCCTCTTGCACTGCTGATGGGAATGCAGATTGGTACAGCCACTGTAGAGAACAGTATGGAGTTTCCTCAAAAAACTAAAAATGGAACTCCAATTTGAACCAGTGATCCCATTCCTAGGAATATATCCCAAGAAACTAGAAACATAAATCAGAAGGATATATACACCCCTATGTTCATACCAGCTCAATTCACCATAGCTAAGATTTTGAAACAGCCTAAGTGCCCATCAGCAGATGGGTGGATTAAAAAACTGTGGTACATCTACACAATGGAATACTATGCTGTGGTAAAAAAGGAGTTCCTACCATTTGCAACAACATGAATGGAGATGGAGAACATTATGCTAAGCAAAATAAGCCAGGAAGAGAAAGATAAATACCACATGATCTCACTCATTTGTGGAATATTATGAACTGCATAGACTGATGAAAATGAACAGATCCAGAGACTGAGAAACATTGATCAGAACCTCAAACCTCAGGGAAGGAGGGGTTTGATGGGAGAAAGGGATAGAGATCAACCAACAGACTTTGTACATGCAATGAGCCTAATCAATGGACACAGACAACAGGGGGTGGGGCACAAATTGGGGATGGGGGTACTAAGGGGGTAAATGGACATATAAAAAATCATAATCATAATCATAATAAAAATTAAAAAATAAATAGTGAGGTAACCAGAACCTTAAGGATGCCTGAGAACATCTTTCTTGCCATGCTAACAGTCATCATATGTATGGTAATATTACTTGGGGCAAATGGTATTTTGGACTTATGTTCCTGACCCTTCATAGGTAAGAATCCTTATGTGAGCTGATCCCCCTCCTAATGTAATCATCAATAATACCAAACATCTTGGTCATCAGGAAGAACCATGGGTGGGGCAAGGAAGTATAATTACACAGGGGTCTCCGCACAACTTCTGTTTTGTATGACACAAAATCAAAACATTGCTCCTTTGTATGTAAAATCAAAGAGAGGTTTTTGGCCAGACCAGCAGATGCAGCAGCTGGAGCAGCTGCAGCCTGCGCCCTCTCCAGCCTGCCCGCCCTCTGCCGCCCTCCACCTGCCCCGGGGGTCTCTTTCCCCCTTCCTCTTCCACCCCCATTTCCTCCTCCGCCCGCCCGCGGTGGGGCGTGGGTGGGGGGCCCTCGCCTTCCCGCCCACTCCCCTTTTCCCCTCAGTCGCCTCGCACCTGCAGTTCTTGGCTTTCACCTTCCCTCCCTCACCCCACCAGTGACCAAAGACTTTACCACTCAAAATCCAGCTTCCCAGAATACTGCTCGACATGGACACCGGTGTGATTGAAGGTGGATTAAACGCCTCTCTCACCATCTGGCTACTTATGCATGGAAAGGAAGTTGGCAGTATCATCGGAAAGAAAGGAGAATCAGTTAAGAGATGCGCGAGTAGAGTAGTGCACATATCAACATCTCAGAAGGGAATTGTCCTGAGAGAATTATCATTTTGGCTGGACACACTAATGCCATCTTCAAAGCCTTTGCTATGGAAGAGGACATCAGCAGCTCTATGACCAATAACACAGCTGCCAGTAGACCCCCAGTCACCCTGCGGCTGGTAGTCCCTGCTAGAAAATGTGGCTCTCTCATTGGAAAAGGTGGTTGCAAGATCAAGGAAATAAGAGAGTTCAGGAGCTCAAGTCTAGGTGGCAGGGGATATGCTCCCCAACTCAACTGAGCAGGCCATCACTATTGCTAGCATCCCCCAATCCATCATTGAGTGTGTGAAACAGATCTGCTTGGTCATGTTGGAGAATCTCTTCCAGTCCCCCCTAAGGGCGTTTCCATCCCGTACCAGCCCAAGCCGTCAAGTTTGCAGGTGGTCAGGACAGGTACAGCACAGGCAGCGACAGTGCGAGCTTTCCCCACACCACCCCGTCCATGTGCCTCAACCCTGACCTGGAGGGACCACCTCTAGAGGCCTATACCATTCAAGGACAGTATGCCATTCCACAGCAAGATTTGACCAAGCTGCAACAGTTGGCAATGCAACATTCTCATTTTCCCATGACGCATGGCAACATCAGTGGCATTGAATCCAGCTCTCCAGAGGTGAAAGATGATTGGGCAGGTTTGGATGCATCTGCTCAGACTACTTCTCATGAACGCACCATTGCAAATGATTTGATTGGCTGCATAATCGGGCGTCAAGGCGCCAAAATCAATGAGATCCGTCAGATGTCTGGGGCGCAGATCAAAATTGCAAACCCAGTGGAAGGATCTACTGATAGGCAGGTTACCATCACTGGATCTGCTGCCAGCATCAGCCTGGCTCAATATCTAATCAATGTCAGGCTTTCTTCAGAGACAGGTGGCATGGGGAGCAGCTAAAACAATGGAGATTCATCCATAACCCCTTTCTGCTGTTCACCACCACCCATGATCCATCTGTGTAGTTTCTGAACAGGTTTTAAATAGTTTGTAAATTTTCAGTTTCTACACACTTTATCATCCACTCATGATTTTTTAATTAAAGCGTTTTAATTCCTTTCTCTGTTCAGCTGTTAATGCTGAGATCCATATTTATTTTTATAAGCTTCTCCCTGTTTTTGTTTTTTGGTTCATGAATTTTTTTTGTTTGTCATGGAAATGTAAGAGTGGAATATTAATACATTTCAGTTTAGTTCTGTAATGTCAGGAATTTTTTCAAAAAAATTAAAAGATGGACTGGAGCTTTTTCTTTGTGAATAGAAAAAAAAATAATAAAATCAAAGAGAGGTTTTTGGCTTGTGTGGACACCAAAGAAAGGACTATCACTACTTGCTCCTGGGAGAGGTGTAGAAAATGTAATAAGATCTTGTCTATACAAAAAGAAATTGGCATCCAGTTTGAAATGAAATTGCATGGCCTAGAGCAAAGAATATCCTTATATGATATTATTCTACAATGTCATTATAATTTTTCCCAGATTTGTGTTACCCCCAATATACATAATAGTATCTCGTACCCTTAGGTGTCAATAAAAAAAAAAATCATCTTTTTGTTTTTTGGAGACAAAGGTAACACATCTCTAGATATTTTAGAATTGCAACAGCATAATGTACAATTATCCCAAACAAACATACAAACTACTTTTTTGAATGTCTGGCAGAATTTAAAAAGGACATGAAAGGATTTAATCTCTTCCATTATGTAGAGGGCCCCTGGGAAGACACTTGAGCATTCTACATTGACTCCTCTTGCTCTATTGGCCAAAAGGGACCCTCTTCTCACAATCCAATTGTCCACAGCTGTTGCCTAAGCTTTCTGTTCAGTTGAAGCCTCTTGATGGCTGGTACCATGGATCTGTCGCTAGTCTAGTGGGGTGAGCTGGGCCCTTTTTGGACAAGAAACCTGGGTTTCACAAGAAATGTGATGAGTGCTAGGGCCCTGCCAGCAGGTGAGGGGATCCCAAGGCAGATGCTGGGCATGGAGGCTATGGGACGTAGGCTACCAAGGAGACAAAACTGAACCTCACATCACCCTGCTTGGCCCCAGAGGATGACTGGTTATCCAGAGATGGGTAGGATTCCTCAGGGAAGGCACAACCTAAGACAGGCACAGTCGCAGAGGGGCCATCAGGAAAGAACTTGGGGTGTCAACAAAAGTGGGGCACAGACCTTCACTTCCCCAACTTTGCAGGGGCCTGAACCCTAACCCCTGCTGAGGGAGGTCTTCTGCCTCCATGCCTGCTTAGCTTCACATGCCCAACTAAAATTGGGACCCAGGTAACAGACAGAGACTTGGCCCACAGCAGTTGCCCTCTCACTGCAAGAAAACTTGTTTGAGTTGTCTTGTATCCATGATGTGCAGAACTGGGGTTTTTGATATCTATTTTTTTTTCATTGAACTTCTTTTATTTTATTTATTTATTTATTTTTAATCGTTCATATTTAATTGTTCATATTCTTTATTGTTCATATTATTACAAATGTTCCTCATTTTTCCCTGCCCTCCTCCACCAGGTTCCCACCCCACCCTCTGTCCTTTCGCCACCCCCCATTGTCCTCATCCATAGGTGCACAGTTTATGTTCAGTCTCTTCCCACACCCCCCACTTTCCTTTTCCCCGAGAATTGTCAGTTCACTCCCAGATCTTAGCTACTGCAAATTTCAAGGTGTATACATTCTTTCTGATTGGTGTGTAGGGTTTCTTAGGATATATTCTTAGAAGTGGAATCAATGGGTCAAATGGGAGTTCCACTTTTAATATTTTTGAGGAAACTCCATACTGTTTTCCACCCTGGATGGTGGACAAATGGTGGTAATGCAGACTCAACCCTCTCAGGTTTGGTCCTGGGAAACCTGCAGCAACACTGACTGACTGTTATTATGGCTATAGCTGCTGACTGCTAGTATGGCAAAGCATCATCAGCATCTTTCATCTCTGGACTGTTTCTCTTCTGTCTTCATGGCTGGAGCACTCCTTGTCAATTCCTCTCTGTTGTAGGAATCCACATGGTCTCGGAGTAGTTTTCTGAAAACATACAAACATATTCTCAACCAAAAGTTAATAAAGGAATCTTTTCTATAAATTTGACTTGCAATCCTTTTTCATTTTTTGCCCAATTGATTTTCCTTTGGCTTGTTTTGACACCATGTAGGTTTTACCTGGGTGTCTTGCTGTTAGGATTACAAATGGAAGTTAATTTTCTAAAGTAAAAATTTTCTAGATATAATTTACTTAGTTTTATATTATTAGCACATATAATACACACACATTTTTCTTGTTGGTAGTCAGATTGCTATGGAAAGCACTAAGTACAGACCACAAAGAGTGTTATTGATTTCCAAAGTTATCATGTGCTACCTTGCAATTTCTTACACTGTATTGTTTATATTACTTTAAAACTTTACTTATATTTTGGATTTATAAAATGAAGCAAAGGTTATGACTTGTATATATATTTATATCTCTGCAACTACATTGGACCTGTGCACCTAGTAGGCATTGAAAGTTAGTGTTGATTTGAAGTTTGAAATAACCCAAAATTGGTGGAAAAAATAAGCAAGAGAAAATAAAGTTGACAAGTAACAGGTTTATTTCACCCATCACCCTGAGAATACTTCAAAGGATCAAGACTGGTGTTAGGATCAAGACTGGTGTTATAACATTTTCATTCCAGAATATGTACTCTTTTAGTTCATGGTCCAAAATTCCATTTTTTCCCCAACCTCAGGAGTACTCCAACCTACTAAACTGTTCAAAATTAAACTCAACTGGCTTACATCTCCTAAGCAACAGAATAATTATTTCTATTGGGCCTTTAGTGTTATCATCAAACCCCTAACGATTTTCAGAAATATTTTGGTTTCAGATTCTAAACACCTTAAAGAACAAATGCCAAACTCAAGTTATTTTTACATTCACATATTTACTGCCTTGCTCCATTCTCTCTTTCTTATTAAAACCTAAGTAATAAATTTCAATATTCATGGAATACAGAAATTTTACCTTCTCCTCCAAAGTGTATGCATTGGTGAAAAGTGACAGATTAGACTTCCCTGGTATCTCCAGGATGCCACTTTTAGGCATATATGTTCTCCCATGCAGTGGGCTTTCTTTTTATTTTATTAATAGTTTCTTTTGCTGTTAATATTTTTATTGTGAAGTAGTTCCATTTGTTTATTTTCTCTCTAGTCTCCATTGCCCTAGGAACTATGTCAGTAAAGATATTGCTATAACAAATGTCTGATATTTTGCTGCCTATAAGATCTCCTAAGAATTTTTATTGTTTTTTTCAACTTACATTTAAGTCCTTTAATCATTTTGAGTTTGTTTTTGTGTATGGTGTAAGTTGGTTATCTACTTTCATTTTTTTTTTGCATATATCTGACCAAATTTTCCAGCAATATTTATGAAAGAGACTGTCTTCGCTCCACTGTATGCTCTTGCTTCCTTTGGCAAATATTAATTGAGCATAATGGATCAATTTCTGGGCTCTCTGTTCTGTTCCACTGATCTATATGCCTGTTCTTGTGCCAGTATACATCAGTTTTCCAAACAGTGACTTTGTAATATGGCTTGGTATCTGGTATTGTGATCCCTCCAACTTGGTTCTTCTTTTTCAGGATTGTGTGGCTCTTCGGGATCTTTTTTTATTCCAGGAGAATTTTTGGATAGTTTTTTCTAGGTCTTTGAACTATGTCATTGGTATTTTAATGGGGATTACATTGAATCTGTAGATTGCTTTGGGTAGTATGGACATTTTAATTATGTAAATTCTATCAATCCAGCAACATGGTATGTTCTTCTATTTGCTTATATCTTCCTCTAAATCTTTTTTCAAGCTTTCAGAGTACAGATCTTTCACCTCCTTACTTAAGTTTATTCTTGGGTATCTTCATTTTTTTGGTGCAATGGTAAATGGGATTTTTTTGTTGTTGTTGTTCTCTTTCTGTGAGGTCATTATTGGTATATAAAAGAAGCAATAAATTTAAGGGTGTTAATTTTCTATCCAGTTACATTGTCAAATTCACTTATTAAGTCTAGAACGTTTTTTATGAAGTCTTTGGGGTTTTCTATGTACAGTAACATGTCCTCTGGGAATAATTACAGTTTTACTTCTTCAACTCCAATTTGGATATCTTTTATTTCTTCTTCTTGTCTAATCACTATGGCTAGTACTTTCGGTACTACATTGAACAGGAGTGGTGAAAGTGGGCATCCCTGTCTTGTTCCTGTTCTTAGGGGAAATGAATTTAATTTTTCCCTACTGAGTATGATGCTGGCTGTAGGTTTGTCATATAAGGCTTTATTATGTTAAGGTCTGATTCCTCTATTCCCACTTTTCTGAGAGTTTTTATAAAAAAAAAAGTGTGTTGGATTTTGTCAAATGTTTTTTTCAGCATTGATTGGTATATTATGTGATTTTTGTCTCTCACATTGTTTTTGTGATGCTTCACATTTATTGCTTTGTGGATATTGTACCATCTTTGCATACCCATAATAAATCCCATTTGGTCATGGTGTATAATTCTGGGTCCAATTTGCTAGAATTTTGTTGAGGATTTTAGCATCTATGTTCAAGGATATTGACTTGTAGTTCACTTTCTTTGTGGTGTCTTTATCTGGTATTAGGGTAATGCTGACTTTATAAAAAGAGCTTGGAAGTGTTGCCCTCCTCTTGAATTTTTTGGAATAATCTGAGGCTAGGTTTTAGTTCTTCTTTGAATGTTTGGTAAAGTATCCTGTGAAACCTTATGGTTCAGAACTTTCGTTTGCTGGAAGATTTTGATTACTACTTTAGTTTCTTCTGTAGTTATTGGCCTATTCAGGTTTTTTTAATTCTTCCTGATTGAGTTTCGGGAGCTTGTTTATTCTAAAAATATGTCCAATTCCTCCAGGTTGTC